ATTTTTCTGGCACTAAGAATTAAAGCTAAGGCCTTCACCCTGGACTTCCCCAGACTTTACAAAAAAATTTCTTTTTAGAAAGGGCCTTACTAGGCTGCTAACTAGCCTAGGCTAGCCTCAAACCCATGATCTTCTTGCCTCATCCGCCCAGACCACTGGCATGTACCACCACATCCAGCTATTGAGTTTTTAAAAACAGATTTAATTTCAATGAAATTAAAATAATTAGCTCAAATTAAAAGGCTGAAAGAAGACCCAGATTCCCAGCCCTTCTGCTCCTTACCAAATTAGTAGCTTCTGACATGAATGAAACTATCCAGCAGGTAACCTTCTGCTTCTGGGTGACTTAAATGTCTTAATGCCACTTCAGTTAAATAGCATTCATATGTGTATTTTGTACTAGACATCTGGAGTTCGAAAATGAGGAAGTCGTGTTGCAACCCTGAAGAGGAAAAATAGGATTGCAGATATGATGAGTACGTGAAAATTGTGCTTTTGAAGAAAATTGTTGCGTTCATGCCTTCTTATTAAAAGTGTAGTGTACAAACAGTTTGATCGCTTCTTTTACATCCTGGGTATATAACTGTGTTCATATGTATTTTCCAGGTGGTTGGTTTATTGGGTTAAGCACATATTTATTTTCTGTCTTATGAATGGTAGTCACGATTTATGCCTTAGAATCAGGAGTTTGGGTAAGTGGTTTGCTAGGGCCCTGAAAACTACCTTTCTCTGTCATACAAACAGTTGTTGTAATCAAATTGGCCTCATGCCTAGAGCAGGCTGTGTGACTCAGTGACAGTTGCAATCAGAATATGGCATTGGATACAAAGAGGTCATAGATGAGGATATCACAGTGAAGATGGCCAACTGGGGTTGGATGGTCTGAGACGAGTGGAGATTTTTTTGTTTCTTTAAAGCATCTATTTCTTTAATTATCATCCAGCAAAGATATATTTAATCAAGTTACTTTTGCATGATTTTTAAACAATTTTTTGTCCTCCTAATACCCCTTTCTAATACCATAAGTCATTCTGTACTCAAAGTGACTGCTCAGTATTATAACAAGCATTCAGAATTTCCAGTGACTTCTAGATTTGTACTTGGTATGTGGGGTGAATTGACAACTGATGGTCAATTTGTGACACCCAGATGACCTGAATCAGCCTGGTGCTGGGTATGGATGGCCCACCTGAGGATTGCTGCCAACAGCAAGTCACCAGCCAGCAAGACAGAGAAGCCACGCCCCCCCTTACACTGTATACAGCTCCACCCTTGGGCGAGTGTAGCACACATACCACCAATCCCAGTGTCAGACGACAAACCAATCACCAGCGCCAGACTCAGCCTCATCCATGATTACATGAGGCATAAGTGGGGGCCATTGTGAGCATGCTATAACACAAGCTGATTCCTATATCCATCCTAGATAGATAATTGAGGAAAGGCCAATGCTTTTAATAAGCCCTTTTAATAAGAATCTTAATCCCAAATCCTCAATAAGTATTGTGAAAGGATAAGAATCTATTCAAAGGTGAAAAAATAACACAGGGAAAAGGAGGAAAAAAAGGAAGGAAGAAGAAAACAGTTATGAATTTGTATATACACATTTAAGACAGCTAAGATGATTGTGCTACTAATTCTATTAGTTCTTGGAACAAAACAGTTAACATTCATAGGATTGGATCAATTTTGTATGTTTATCTGGTAATCTGAGGAATTTTTTTTGAAGATTGTTATGCAAAATAACCTTAGTTATGTTCCCACCACCTTGTTTTGAAGGCCTATATTGCCATTGTTTTGAGGTCTTTGTTATCGATATTTATGTCTTTTTTTTGTTTCTATAGTAACTTGTTTTGTTTTGTTTTTCCCTGTAATACAGAAAAGATAGACGTACACATAAAGGCTTAGACATGCCTAGAACTTCTGCTAAAGAGTGTATGAGAATTGATTGTACTATATGTGAAGAAAAAGAGACATTATGGCAGCCTTTGCTGATTTCCTATCATCATGCTGTGAAGTCCAGTAATGCTTTTACTCTTTGTTTAGATTGGTTTTAGTCTGTTTTGTATTATTTAATTTCAATATAAGTGAAGGTAGGGACAGCTATTTTGAAGAGAACAAGAGACATTATGGTAGCCATTGTTGATTTTCCTATTGTCTAGTTTTGAAGGCCTGTAATGCTTTCATTCTTCTGTTTTGATCAGTTTTATACTACTTTGTCTTATTTGAATTCATTGTGTGTGAAGATATGGACAACTATTTCAAAGGAAACAAGAGACATTATGGTAACCACTCTTGATCTGTTGTCTTGTTTTGAAATCCTGTGTTACTTGCATTGATTTGTTCTGATCTGCTTTGTTATATTTTATTTTACCCTCCTTAAAATAAAAAAAAGAATCTTAATCCCATTCATAAAGGAGAAACTTTCATTATCTAATCATCTCCTAAAGGTTCTACTTTTTAGTACTACACCACTGGAGATTAAGTTTCAACATGAATTTTGGAGGGATATAAACATTCAGACTATAGCACTGGGTAAAGAAGAATATGATCTTGTAACAATAATAGAGAAAGGTCCTAGATTTTGAAATAGATTCTTCAGCTAGTAAATCCTAGATCAAATATTCAAACTTAAAATATCAGGAGTGGGGGAAAAACCATTTAACACTGTTTTCAAGAAGTGCTCTGAGTTTGTACCTGTGCTGTCCCTTTTGCTCTTACATTTTTACCTGGGAAATATTCCTTCACATGGGAATGTAAGGTAGAACAAGCCATTGAAAGCCCTGGAGAACTATGATGCCACTTGAGACAGAAAATCGTGTGAGAATTGAATTATATCACTCCAAAGTAAGGAAAGCATTGGGGTGACCATTCTGTTAACTGTCAGATCAACACTCTAATAATTGCTGTGGCCCCAGAAATTTGACTAATGAGCTTAACAGCGTCATAACTACATAGTAAAATGAATGGTATGAGGGGCGCACAAACACGTACACACACACGTACTTATTTTCTCTGTGACATTTTTCTCCAAAGTCTACATGTTGATAATCTTCAAAGTTTATGTACGGTACTAAGTGGTAAATAAACAATTTCAAAGGTCGACATACTGTCACATGCCATATGAGACACTCTGGAATAAAACATTTTCTGTGGAATTGAGGTATTGAGATGAGTAATTGATGATAAACTGTGATCATAAAAACATAGCTATTTGAATATACATGCTTATACACATGCACAAATAAAGGGAAAAAGAGACTAATTGCCATCTAGTAAATGGTGTATCCTAATAATAAATATACTATACATACAGTTTTCTCAGACTGAGAATATTTTTTTGACAAACCATAGAGCTAATTAAAAAGCATTTCTAAAGCACTTGCTGTTGATGGATAACATGGAAAGGGTTCTTGTTCCACTGCAAAATTTGAATTAATTCTGCTTCTAGAAGAAATAAAATTCAAAAACAACAAGGGCTGGGGATAGAGCTCAGAGGCAGAGGACTTGCCGAGCATGTGTGAAGGCTCTGGGTTTGATCCCCAGCACTGCAACAAAAATCCAGAAAACCAATAACAAGTACTGTGCATTGAGTGCCTATTATCTGCTAAGGAATTTCCTAAGTGTGTGTAGTTGCATTATGACAGTATTTCAGTACAGCCTCATTTTACCTTGTGTAGTAAGTTCTGCTATCAACAGATGAGAGAACAAAGGCTCAATGAAGCTGAGAAACTTACATAAGACCTCAGCACTAGTAAATCCTAGGTCAAATATTCAAACTCTGTATACTCTTTCGGGGGCCCAAGGGCTTAAGCGCTGCTTGCTGTTGCCTGAGAAGGATCTCAGAATCAGTCTGAAAATACTAGAAAGAACATTGGGTTTGGAGTAGATAAGACCCTGGTTAAATCTCATTTCTGTCTCTTCTGTGGTCAAAGGCAAATTACTTAACCTTTCTTACTCAGTTTCCTGGTACTATCTACTTTGACTACTGGTAGTAAGACCAGAGATAATATATATATGCGTTATCACAAGGTTCATATTCAAGAAGATATTTGTTGTGATTTAACTGTTATCTGTGAGTCTAAGCAGAGCCGTGCAGGGAAAAAGCTATGCCAAATCTGACTACACCTAACTTTTCCTTGTCTCATTAACCAAGGCTACTTGATAACCATTCTCTGAACTGAAATGTAACCATTGCTAGAGCAAAGAACCCCACGGAGTTATGCTCCTTTTGTATTTCACACTTATAGAAAATGAAACTCACTTATTTAATTTATACACCAGAGCTCCCGCACCATGTAAACTCTACCTCTGAAGGAAATGAACAGCAAGCTAATTCTCAAGGATTCAGAAACAGCTAATTAATTAATGAAGGTTGAAATAACAATGTAGCCTTTTGGCCAAAGACAGTCATTCTATAGATTAAAGAAATTTGAATTAACATTTCCAATATTGCTAGAGGAAGTGCTGTTTAAAGATAGATCAAGGCATACATCACAAAATTGGAATTCAGAAATGTTTAAGATGCTAGCATTTATATTGATGTTTTACCATATAAACAGAAAAATCAAGCCTGAAACAAATCACTATCCTAAAAAATAGAAGTGTAAACAGAATTGTAATTAATGAATAGACTAGTAATTTTTAAGGAGGTCATATGTAAGAGCTGGAAGGGATTTTAGAGTTCAATTGTTCCTTCTGTGTGTGTGTGTGTGTGTCTGTGTGTGCATGAATTCCTGTATGTAAACTGAAACCCAGAGAAAGGAAATGGTGTGGCCAGTTCTTTTTGATACAGTGAAATATTTCTCATCTTAATTTTCTTTTGGAGAAGGTGCTGGTGAGAAGTATAATTTATAGGGGTTCTAAAAGCAGGGGCCTTACTAAATTTAGATTTGGTTCCTGCTTATGTAATTTTCTTTATGTTTTTAATTATTTATATAGATATATTATTTATATATGTCTGGAACTTGTGCTTTTAGCACTCAATAAGTAGGAATAATTTATACGATTATAGAGTTCTTCCTGTCCTTACCTTTCAGAGTATGTTCTTTCGCATTGTTAATTAACTGTTACATTTCACTCTTGTGCAACTTCCTTCCTGGCAGTCTTGTGGTGATATTTAACAAGGCAGAGAGAATTACGTTAGGATCTACAATTACCTGCATATGCTCATTCCAAAATCCAGGTTAATTATCTGGCAGATTGCTATCAAGATAATGCAAGACCCTCCTGAAAAAAGAAGCCAGTTTCTAGGCCAAATAGAAATTGCCTCTATTATTGTTACTATTTTTCAAAACAATGTAGTTCCTGACCCATTCGTTTCTCTGTCCTCCCTTCCCTCTTTTCTCCATTTTGCCGCCTTGCACTGACCTCAGTACCTGTGTCATCTGGCTCCTGACCATGGGTCTGACTTCAGGCTACTTCTAGGAATGATGCCTAATTTTTGTCTTTCTCTCCCTATGCAGCTCGCGTTCAGGTGGCCCATGTCTGGGCCCTCTCATCATTAGTTCTCCAGTCTTGGATTCCTAAAGTGCTGGCTCTGTCACCCACAGGACTTGATGACAGCTGCTCAGAAGACCCTAACCCAGCAGGTACCTTGGAGATGTGTTCGTATGAAAAGTGGATGGGTGGGGGGGCACTGGAAGTGGATCTTGCAGTTGGGGGCTGGGCGAGGTGGCAGCACAGCCTTTACTGTTACAGTTCTTCATGATCTCCTTGCTTACTATTCCCTAGAATAAACAGACAGAATTCCTGGTTGCTTTTTCCTGAGCCTGGAGTTTATAGCTCTCAAAATGTAGTTTTTGGAAAACTTACTATAATGAGATACAAAAACGTTTCCTCCATGGAAAGGGAGGGCAAAAATATAAACTGAGGTGAACTATCTTTTTTATTATAATGACTCAAAAGCAAGAGGCCTTTGGTTAGGGCTAAAACCTTAAAGCCTGCTCTTTTCCAGATTCCTATCTTTTTGACAGAGCCATTAAATAAAGAACCCACTCCAGCCTATGCACTGGAAAGGCAAGAAACCACCTTATCCCAGTCACGAAGGCTACAAGGCCACAGACCATCTACAACATTGTCTTGATGTGAAAATACTACAGTATATCTACCAAATAGTTCTTAGGAAAAGGGACAACTAAAGAAAATTTTTTCTCAGCTTCGTTGGTTATTGTTTTCTGCCTCAGGGTATAATAAATAGCAGTCAATCATAGAACTAGGTATTAATACAAGTTGGTTGATAGAGTGATGGGTAAACAAATGAACATCCTAGTGACAGACATTATGGAACTCTCTAGACCCAAGCTTGCTCACACTGAGGCCTCCTGATACATCAAATGTGTGTCAAGAGCCCTGAAAGCAGCTTTCAAAATGCACCTGGGAATATTCCTAGGTAGTAAGGTTGGCCATAGTCCTGGTGGCCTGGAACCTTCCTCTCTGAGCTGTTCAGTGTTTAGCTAGTTCCATGGATAGATTCCAGAAAGTTCTAGTGCCTTGTAGAATCAACTAGATAGACAACTCCACACTATATTAACTGATTAGACTAAGTAGGTAGTAGTTAACTGTGTGAAAGTTGAAAGACAGCATTCTTAAAAGTGTATTATGTATGCTCCGGGAAGAGAGTTTTCATAAACAAATGTATCTTGTGACAAGGTATGCATTAGCTTCATGTTTAAAACATGTTACATTTTGAGTAATTTTTTAAAAGTTTATTTTAAAGAGAATAAAACCAAACAAAACAGAATAAAGTAAATCAGAACAGAGCAATGTAAGCAACACAGAACTTCAAAACAGGACAACAAGAAATCAGCAATGGCTACCATGTCTTTCATTTTCTTTAACACAGATGTCCACATCATCACAACCATGAAATCAAACAAAACAAAACAGAGCAAAACTAATCCAAACACAAGAATGAAAGCATTACAGGACTTCAAAACAAGATGATAGGAAACCAATAATGGTTATCATCATATATCCCATTATCTTCAAAATAGCTGCCAAACCATTAGACACAGTAAAATCTAACAAAACAAGACAGAATGAAATTAAACCTAACAAAATTATGAAAATGATACAAGAATTCAAAACAAGACAGTAGGAAATTAACAGTGGTTACCACTTTAGGGATTTCCTCCTATCACTGTCATAATATCTATTGTGCTTTTTAGATCCCACTAATTCCTTTAGTTTTTTATGCTAGAAAGATAACTTGGTGTTCATCTGTATGAGTGCAAACCATTTCACTCATCAGCATGATCTCTAGTTGCATCCATTTACCTACGGAGAGCCTTAAGATCGTCCTACTTTATAGCTGGGTAGCTTTTCATTGTATGAAAATATTATATCTTTCTTATCCATTCTGTGGTTGATGGGTGTTATGGTTGATACACTGTGTTAGCTTGGGTAGTTTAGAAGTTTAACTGAGAGACTTAGCAGGAGCCATGGGTCTTACTTTGTAAATATGTTCTTCCTGCGCAAAGAAGGGCAAGGAGATTTTGGAGTGTTGCACCTGCCCTGGGGAGGAAGCGGGTGGCCTGTGTACATACAAAGGAGAAAAAAAGAGGCTTGTCCTTGGCCCTTTTGCTCTGGCTGCTGCCTTGAAGTGTTGCCCAGTGCCCTGCCACCCTGCCTTGCAGCCAGCTGATTATGGACTGAAAAGAACACGACAGTGAGCTAAATAAATCTTTCCCTCCCTTATTTTGGATGTCAGCTATTTTGTCCTAGCAATGAGAAAAAAGTAACCAAGACAATGGGCAAGTTATCTTTGCTTTTTTCTGTTCTCCCGTCCGTGGAACAATTGTTTTCTTACTTTGATTTTCAGTCTATGAATTTCCTTTTGAGTTAAATGTGTTTCTTGTATACAGTATATTGATGGATTTTGTTTCTTGATCCACTCTTCCTGTTTCTTTTTATTGCTGACCTGAGGCCATTTACATTAATGGTTACAACCAGCATACATTGCTTTGTCTCTGCCATACTATCCTCCTGTTGTTGGCTCCTCCCTTTTCCCCGGCATTCAATTGCCTGTTCTGTTTGTCCATCCTCCTCTGCTGCTGTTCCTGGAACCACGATCATCTTTATCTTTCCCTAGAATATCCTTCAGCACTCTCTGTAGGGTTGGTTTGGTGGTCAGGAATTCCTTCAGTTGTTCTTTATCATGAAAGAACATCTTATTTTCCATCAATTTTGAAAGACAGTTTTGCAGGGTTCATTAATCTGGGTTGGAAGTTGTTTTCTTTCAGGATTTAAAATGCTTCACTCCAAGCTCTTCTAGATTTGATGGTTTGTGCTGAGAAGTTTGCCATGATTCTGATGGGTTTTCCTTTATAGGTGATCTGTTTCTTTTCTCTAACAGCCTTTAATATTCTATTTTTGTGCTGAATTTCTGGGATCTTGATTACTATATGCCTGGGTGTAGATTTATCTTCACTATGGCTAGTTGGAGTTCTATATGTCTTACTTATCTTTGTGCTGGATCCTCTTTCCATGCTTGGGAAGTTTTCTGCTATTACTTCTATAAATAGTCTTTTTATGTCATTTGTGTTGACCTCTGCTTTTTCACTGATGCCTATCATTCTTAAATTGTTTTTCTTTGCATCATCCTTTAGCCATTGAATTATTTCCTGGTTCCTTATTTTTTTTTAAAGAGATCATTACTTTATGATCACTAGCTGTGATCCTGTCTTCAAGGTTTGAAAGTCTATCTTGAAGCCTCTTTTGATGCGTTGGGTGTATAATTTCCATTTTCTTCCGTGTCGACACTTCCCAGACTTGTTCTGTGTGGGCTGGAGGTCTGTGATTGCCTTTTGCTTCTTTGTCTTTACATTCTCCTGGGTTCCCCCCAACAAGCTGGTTGTGGGTCCCAGGCACTTCCTGCATTGGCTACACCTCTGTGGTGTAGGGGAATGGGCCAGGCACCTGGGTTTCTCTGAACCCAGTTTCTCTGGGACTTAGCAGGATGTGGGGAAGGCTATTCTCCAGACCTGTGCAGCTACACTAAGGCTTTCCTGATGGCCAGGGGTATGTGGTAGTGGGGCTGCTTCTTCTCTCAGCCTGTGTCTCTACACCGGTACCCCCCTGATATTGGTAGGCACACAGGGGTATGTTTGTCTGGTTCTACTGGTGGGCAATGGCTGCCCAAAGGAAGCAGGGGCTCCAATGGCAGCCTGTGGGCACACAGAACATGTCTAGCTGTTTCTCCCTGCCCACACTGGTTACCCAAGGAAAGCAAATCTTCCAATGGCAGCAGTAGCATGCAGGGGTGCATCTTCCTACCTGAACTGGCTCTAAATTTTGAGTATTTATGTTTAGACTAAAAGAAAATGTCAAAGGCATGGATAAAGATAACAAAGTTCCCCACATATGTGACATCCTAGTCCCATAACTTGAGTAAGCACAGTTAACAATTCCTTATTCTTTTAGGAATGCTTAGTGGGACTGTACATCCAATGGGCTAGACACAGGTGGACGTCAGCAAAGTGGCTTTATTCTCTAATTCTCTTCGGTTACCATTGGCATAGCCCCTTGACAATGTTGAGCAGATCCTGAAGCTTTTTCAGACCTGGCTGAATGTTAAAACACTCTTATTCGTGAGTGTATTTTAAAGCTTACTTGATCCAATGCAAATTTTCTTTTTACATCTCATTTCCAACTGCTCCCCTTCCCCAAGCTTAGGCCTAATCCTGGTTCAGAAACCTGCAGTGAGTGGCATCCGGTTTTCCTTCTCTTCCACCTTACTTTTCCACTCCTTTATATCCTCTGTGGAACCCTCTCTCTTCCAGGGCTGCATGAGAGGTGAGAGATATAAAAGGACAGGATCTTACTCAGTGGGTGCCCTGGAATCAGGTATCTGTGACCTCTGGATGGCAGATACCTAAAGTTGGTTTTTTCTTGTGTGGAATGAGCCTAGCTTCTAATGACTCTCCTTCAAGTTTATTTTCACAATTCCAAACGTTCACGAAATGTTCTTGGTGGCATTGTCCTGCTCTAGCGGACAGCACCAGTGTGGCTAGCTTGTGAGAGGGTCCCCTGGCCTGTGGGAAAGCTTAGCATGTTTGCCTTCACAGAACACCTTGCTCCTACCACAGCCTCCTCTCTGCTGTGTTGGAGCAGCTTATCATTCTAGACCCTCTCTGCCCTTTAGTCTATCCAGGCAAGAGGCATGCACCCCGTTGTATGCCCTGTGTGCTGGGGAACACAGTCCAACCTCACACATGCAGTCTCTATCTTGCTATTTCAGGAGTAACACGGAACAAAGGCTGTTTTTACAGGTCAGGAAGAACTGAGCTTTGGGTGAGGTGCTGCTCTTCCACTTGTGAGGCACTCCACCACACCTTTTCTGAGATTTTCTCTTCCTTTCATTCTCACCTGACATCCCGTGCAGCCTGTCACATGAGGAGGATTCTAAAATTAGTAGGCTCGTAACACTTCTCCAAGTTCTGCTCTTTGCCCTTGCTTTTTGAACCTTAACTATTCTTTCAGATGGAGATGGTTGAGCTAGGAGTCACTGTCCAAGTTCCATTAACTTTCAGCACATCCTGAATGGGTAACACCTCTGTTTAGAAATTATGTCACTTACTGAGGTCAGTGT